TTTCCGCTGTCCATAGCGTTCCTTGACAGTCGTTTCTAAGGCACCAAGCCCTGTAGATGGCGCTGTGGAGCCGTTTTGCTGTGCGGCGCAGCTCTTTCTCTGTAGTTGAGGCGGTCACAGTGGAAGACGGCGACTGAACTACATGGAAACCAAAATAACTGAACAATCAGTATCATCTAATGAACGAATGCAGAGGTTACTTTTTTATCTATACTTTCAATTGTGATGGCAGATAAAATATTACATTATATGGCGATATTGTCATACAGTGATAATATCGTATCGTGACACGCCTGCCAACACTCACCCCAGTCATTGCATAAGCGTTGCTGTATTCTGAGCAGCGCTGTGATTAAAGTCGTGGGTGCAGACAGGAAAACTAAACGGTCGTTCCTGCAGGATCCTGCTGTCAGTAGATCCAGACCTTTAGACCGATCCGTTCCTGACCGGCCTTATCTCTACCTGCCACACCGTATGCTGGGCCTCACACGTGCAATAGAAGTCTGATTAATGCTTGTGTTGAGATAAAAACTCCTGACCTGTTATTGGACCAGAGGAACCTCCCGCTTAAAGATACAATCCGCTGGTTTTATCGAGTACCGATGAAGGACGCGGTTTTTAAAAACTTCTGTCTTCTATATCGGCGTCGATGACGTCACCATGAACACAGTCTGCTGGCAGCAGTAAACATTCAGAGGAACTTCCTCACAGCTGGTGATTCAATGCAGAAAACCAGCAATTATATCCTATTAAAGTGTAACTCACCCCAAAATAGTTATTTTAATGCCGATAAACTGTGTTTACTGGGGGCTATTTTATGTTACTGTTGACCTTTTTATAAATTCTGTAATATTTGGGCTGCTCAGTGGTGCAGTGGGTTGTACTGCTGCGTCGCAGCCGGAAGGTTCTGGGTTCGATTGCATGCGTGGGTTCTCCCAGGGTACTCCGGCTTCCTCCTACAGTCCAGAAAAATGACTGTTAGGTTAGCTGGCTTCTCTAAATCCTCCTTAGGAGTGAATGGTTGTTGCTCTGTGTTGTCCTGCGATGGGCTGGAGACCTGTCCAAGATGGACCCCGCCTTTGCCCATAGTCGCCGCGGATAAGATGATTCAATTAAGGTATCAAATAACCAAGCACCTTTATTCAAACACTCAAAAACAAATTTTTGTAAAACATAAATAAATAAAAGTAAAATTTACATTCAAAAATAAAAAAAAAAAGTGATCCAGTTAGCCAAGTTCCAGTGTGTATTGTAAAAATGGCGGCACACTGTGATGCATTGCATTTATTTTATATGGCATGACCCAAACCTTCACCTATACCTAATGCTAACATAGCCCCGCCCCCTGACCGCCTATCACCCATTACCCTAAGCTAAGCCCAGCTCAAACAGGAGATCAACCTTATGGGGAGGTTAAATAGACACAGTTTATCTGCATTAAATAACTATTTTGGGGTGAGTTACGCTTTAGCCATCGACGCCGTTTGAATGTCCCCACATGTACCACCCATTTAGTCCCGCCCCCCAGGGTCTCCTGGCATTGGCCAATCTGGTGGTCTGGGGGCGGGGCTTTTGTTACATTTGGGGTTGAGTTTCACTTTAAAGGTGTAAAAATAAAATGGACGCGGCCTGAAGCGAACTGGCTGCCTTGTTTTTCAGGCGCAGAAGTAGAACCTTGTTTTACCAACACAGAGCTGAACTCTAGCTGCTAATCTCTACATCCAAACTCAGATTAAATCCCACGGTCAGACTCCGATCACGCTGGAATAAATGCAAAATCCAAATGAGTCATTTTCTTCTTAAAATAAGAGCTTTTATTCTTGAATTGAGGAGATAAAAGACACATTTTGCCAACAG